ATACAGTCGACCCTCTCAGAACCGATCCTGTCAAAACCGATAACCTGCCAAAATCGGTTAAAAATCAATCCACCAGACACCCGTTCCATAAGTAATAACCGATAATCTGCCATTTCCGATACTAAACCCGTCCACCATGCATACCGGTTCTGAGAGGGCTGACTGTATCTGTAATATAAATTAGCAAATTTTTTTAAATAATTATAATGCTACAAATGCTTATTTAACTTTAAAAATTTATTTTAACTCTAATAAAATTAGTATTTAAATTTTAATCTAATATAAATTTAAAATATTTATATTATATAATATATATGCTTAATTTATAAACTAGTAATTTTTATAATTTACTTTAAATTAATTATGCATTAATATTATATTAGAGTATTGCTATTTATACTATTATTTTTGCTATTTGTATCATACTAATTGTTAAATTTTTTTTTGTGAATTTGTTTGTTTATTTATAAATTTTAGTTAAAAATTTATTAAAATATTCTTTAGCTAAAAATTTTAAATACTATAAACAAAAAACTAACAAAGTTTTAATATTTAGAATAGTATAAATAGTAAAAATAATAGTATAAATAAAAATACTGTTATATTATTATATATATATATAAATAATAGTATAAATAGCAATACTCTTACAGGGTGTAGTGACATAGAGTAGTAGTTAATTTGTCACTCCAAGCGGCAGGTCTAGAGTTCGATTCTTACTAGAGATATTTTTTGAAAAATAGGCCTGTATTCCAGTAATATTTATTTAACAATCGGTTAGATATATAACCTGTGATCTTGGTATTACTATCTTGAAATAGAAACTTTAGGGTGATCTAAATTCAAGAAACCAGAATATTTGAAATCTGTTTGGCAAGATCTGAGCTAGGAGTAGTGAAGATCTTTGATGATACTACAGAAAACCAGAAACTGAAGAACTGAACTAATAACTCTGGGGCAAAAAAGGTCTATCAACCTGGCTGCCAGAGCTATATTGAAAAAAAAGTTCTATGTTTCAGAATTAGAAACCAAGGGAAGTAAAACCAGAAGATATTTAGAGCCTAGGTACAACAACCCATCTGGGCTAACTGGTTTGATAGTCAGAGAAGAATCGATATAAAGGCTGATTAAAAGTGGGTATCAGGATTAGAATGAACCTTATAAGGGCAGGAAGTAGATAACAATAGCGGTAATAAAGTACCAGTTCTCAGATTGGGGTTTAAGTTACTAAAAAATCTAGATGATACATATATAGAATATGGACCACTCTAGTAGATTTACTATAAGAACCAAAGACTGAAAAACCAGACTAATAACTCTGAAGCAAAAAGAGTCTACCAATCTGGCTACCAGAGTTATACTGAAGAAAAAAGTCCTATACTACAGAATTAAAAACCAAGGAAAGTAAGACCAGAAGGTATTTAGAGCCTAAATACAATAACCCATTTAGGCTAACTGGTTTGGTAGTCAGAGAAGAATCAGTATAAAGACCAGTTAAAAGTAGGTATCAGGATCAGAATGAACCTTGTAAAAGCAAGGAGTAGGTAACAGTAGTGGTGATAAAGACCACAAGTACCAGTTCCTAGATTGGGATATAAGTTACCAAAAATCTAGATAATACATATGTAGAACATGAACCATTCTGGTAGGTTTACTACAAAGATAAACTAGTCCTAAAGAGCTTTAGTAGCAGGAATTCTTCTGGAAAAAGTATCTGATAGCGCTAAGTTGATCAAAGAGTTTAAATAAGAGATCTATAAATAGATCTTAAATATAGCAATTGATGAGTAACTATAAATAGAAATAGATATAGTGAAGCTCTTAAATAGGCAATGACTAAAGTTATATATATGACCAATTGTATTCTCATTAATATAACAAAGTCAAAAGGTACCTATTTAATATCCTAATAATTGACTTGTGAAATTAATAAGCTGTGCCAAACCCCAAGCAGTTACCTTAATTTATAAAAAAAAAAGCAATACTCTTACAATTATTATAAAATATACTTATAGTAGTTTTGCATTTATTATATATTTTATTATATTTTTTAAATTTTTCTAAGTTTTTATATAAAATTTTTAACACTAATTTTTTCACATTAAAGTTAATATTAAGGTTAGGATTAGGGTTTGAAAAAGGTTTTTGAGGGTGTAGAATATTTTTGCTTAGAATACCTTATATCAATTAATTTGCCAGTTTTTGAGATAATATATACATAGATGTAAAACACTATAGATGTGTTTCAGTAAAATTCTACTCTTATATTATATATATAATTATAAGTAATTTTAAGATTTTATTATTAAAACAAAATTTTATAAATATTAATTTAATCTTTGTTGATTATTTGTTTATTAAATATTAAATTAAATACTTAATAGTAATTTTTAATAATAATAAAATTTTATAATTTTTATAATCTTATAGTTAATAGATTTTGTCTACAAAACTTGAATATAAAACTATTATACTATATATTTATTTATTAATATATCTTTATATAATTATTAACTATTATTATTAAATTTTTTAACTACAATTTATATATATACAAGATTTAATATATCCTTTAATCTGTAGAGCAGACAAATTTGTCTGCTTATATTTTTAAAATTTTAAATTTTTTAATAAAATTTTATATATTAATTTTAATAATATACTTAAATTTTTTATATAAATCTATTAATTACTTTACAAGAATAGCTAATTTAGCAACTTTAGAACTATTTTATAGTTATTTTAAAGTAGTTCTAAAGCTATTAAATTGGCTATTTCTGTAAAGTAAATTTTAATAAATTTTAAAATAAATTCTATATAATTTTTACTTATAATAATATTGTTAGTATTTGTATAAAATTATAATTTTAAATATTTAAAATTAAGTTTAATTAAAATTAATTTTTAAAACTAGATATTTTATATATATTAGTTAGCAAATTTAGATAAATTTAACTTCAAGTATTTACAATTATAATATATATTAACTTTAAATATAATATTATAAAACTAGATATATTATATATATTAGTTAGCAAATTTAGATAAATTTCACAAGTCAAATAAAGCTATATCAGAAATATACAAACTGAATAAGAATCAGTGACATATCGGAAGCTAATATGTGCTGATAGTTAGTATCAAAATATCATGGAGCTATCGGGAATATTGATAGACCTATCAGAATATCTAAAAATAGGCTGATATATTTTAATAATATATCAGCCAATTTTTGGAATTTATAAGTAGAATATATTTTGTAAAAACTTCAAAGCTAAATAACTTCTGATTTACTGGTCTGGTATATACTCTATTTATAAATTTCAAATATTGGCCAATATAATATAGAGATAAAATCAGGAACATATCAAAATTTTAATATATCTATCGATAAATTTATAGAGTTATAATTTTTTCTAAATAGTTATAGATATTTTAAAGTAATATTGGTAAAATATCGATATACTGATAGCTATATCAGTAATTAATAAATTAGATAAAAATTGTATTATACTAACAATAGATTTATATCTATAATTATTTAAAATTTAATTGATAAACTTTATATAATATGAAAATATCAGATACTATCGATACTAAACTTTTAAATTTTTACTTACTAACTAGAATGACAGATTTATATTCTCGTGGGTTTTTTTCTTGACTATAACTGTTTTGAATATAACTTTGCCTAAAATATTATAGATAGAAATAATACAATTCCTACTTAAGTTATAGTACTTCTTATTCTATAGTTTAATATTACAGATATTATCTATTTGGCAATAATATCTTATCCTTAGGTTATCAACAGCTTGATACTATTGTATAGAAGCCAATACATATTTTTTTGAACTTTAAATATTGGTTCCAATACTACCGCTACGAACATTGGTTCCAACACTACTGCTACTAATAATATTTCTGACTCTAATACTACTACTGCATTCTCTACTAGTGTTTGAAATTAGTGTTCTCAGAGTTCTCATGAGAACATAATTATAAGATTGTGAACAGTAAAAATTTTTTATTGTTCACTATTAAAAATTTTTTGAGAACAGGAAAATAAAAATAGTGTTCTCATAAGTAGTAGATAAGTAGATGATGTAAGATAATACTCGGATAATTCTAATGCTTAAACATTGTAATAAAGTCTTAATCAGAGTTTAGAATCGAATTTAATTTTTAAATTTGAATTTATTTAATTAGTGATCTCTAGCTTCAAATTACAGATGTTTTTATAATTTCTGAAACACTTAATAAAAATTTGCCAAATCATTTTTCAGCATTTCAGTTAAGTTATTATTTTGACATAATAGATTCAATAAAATTACAAATTATACATATATACAAATTTTATTTATATATGTAAGTACTTGCTAATTTTTATTTTGTATAAAATTTTAGATTTTCTGCACTGTTTAGAAAAGGCTTATTGTATAACAAATTTAGCTGCATTAGGTCATAAGATATAAGAATATTGATTATACAAAATCTAATCTTATAGCCTATCAGGTAATTATAAACCTTAATTTCCAAAATTTTGTTGATTCAAGTTTTTATGAGGAGGACAAATTGAAGAATAGATGTTTATTTTATTAATATAGTATTTTTTATTATTTAAAAAAATCTTTGTTACTATTTTTTTTTTTTGATCGATTTTAATATAAACAAGTTAATAATTTCAAGAATATATATTACTTAGCAAGAAGGGTAAACAAGAGTTTTTAAAGTTTTGAATTCATTATAATAAAGAATATCCATTTGCTATAAAAACAGAAATAATTCTTATACAAATTATTCATTTAAAAATATCGATTAATTTCTATTTGTTCTTTTTATATTAAAAGCTCGGATCTAATAATCTGAAATTAATTTGTAAATACGCATCTTTTAAGATCTTCTTTATGTAGAATAAAAATAAAAAATATATATATCTTTAATGCTTACTATCTAAAGATAAATTACTCTCTCAGGTTATAATATTCAATTCTGTAAAAATGAGCTCTTTATTTACAGAATTAGAAGATCCCGTATCAAGCTGTAATAATAATGATCATAATAGCGACCATAATAATGACTATAATAATGATAATCATGTCCATAATAATGACAGTACTAGTAGCAAATGAAACAGCAAAAGTGAAGTGTAAGACTTTTTTGATAAAGTTGTTTGGCAAAAGAAAAAAAAACTAGCTAAATATAAAAAGTGTCTGAAAAAAGAATTTTCTTGTGCATGTAGTAGCGTAATTACTACATTATAGCATTATCTAAAAAGTGCTTATAAGGCACAGTATGCTATTACAGAAGAATATCACAAAAAAAAAATACAAGATGAACATGGTACTATTGAAGAGTTATTCAAAAAGATAGATTTATACTTTTTAATTTTTTATTTTTATTTTTATTTTTTAGATTAATCTAATTAAAAAAAAACTAAGACTTCTAAAGATTCCTCTACTACAATATTAGCTGAAATTGATAATATGAAACTTCGTAATATATTCGCCACCTAGATTATTAATCGTCAATGCCTACTTGCTATAATTGAGGATCTTGAATTTGTCAAAATTATATAGTACTTGAATCCTAAGACACAATTAGTTAAAGCAGATGCAATTAAGAATGCAATTATATTGCTTTATAACTTAGGAAAACAAGAATTGAAGGTAAATCTCATAATTATATTTATACAATTGACACTCTCTAAATGCAACTTCTTTCTAAATACAACTTCAATTCTGGCTCAGTATATGTTTGATCTCTATAAATGCAAATTTTTTAATTATTTTCTAAGAACATATTGTTAAAAGTCTGGTTTCAACGAATTGTATTTAAAGGATTAAAAAAAATTATAGTAATTAGATTATTTGGATCATATACATGAAATTGTGATTATAATAAGGCAGACCAATTTAATTTGGTGGTTTACATTATATTCCTTTCTCAAAAAAGGAGAGGAAGAGAGAAAAAAATTTATGTATACATAGTAAATTTTATAAAAAAAATTTTCAGATCAAAAAATTTTGGCTTAGCCTTGCTTATCTTTTGTGTTCATTTATTTTTTTTTCAGAATTATATTATGATTGTTATAACCAGAATGATAAATATATTCTTCTAAGTACTTATATTCTATAGGCATACTTTTTTTTTATAAATTTTAAGATCTCCTTCATGTCAGACCTCTGAACGTCTCCCAACAACAAAGCCTTTATTTCACTTATAGCACATTATATAGATAAAGATTGGATCCTCCAAGAAATACTAGTTGATTTTGGGTTGTTAAGTGGAAAACATGATGGAATAAATATTTCAAATAGATTCTTTAGCATACTAAAAGATTATAAGATTGTATCAAAGGTAGTTATTTTATAAAAATCTTATTTTTTTTTTGTATTTTTTACTGATCGCAATTAATTAAGTATTGAATGTCACGCTTCAAGTGCTATTTGAAATTACTTATATGATTTATGTATACTACTCATCAAATTGTATAATAGTTTCGAATAGCATTTTGAAGTATACTATTCTTTTTTTTTGCTAGCTTCTTGTCATCACCCTTGATAATGCTACAAATAATAGTACCTTTGTTCGTGAATTAGAAATAAAGTTAAGAGAAGAAGCGAATTTTAAATAGAATTCAGAACATCTTCGATTTCGCTGCTTTAATTATATTCTTAATTTGGCAGCATAAGCAGCTTTAGAGCAAATAAAGAAGCATATTTGCAAGGTGTCAATATAAATCTTATAAAAGCTAACTACTGTAATTTTTTTTATTATATTAATATAATAACAATTAAGATTCGAGACCTCAATGCTACTATTCGTACATCTCAATGTCTTGAGCTTCTTGAAAATTTATGTAATGTATATAATATTAAATTTTATAAATCTATTCTGGATTGTCCTACTAGATAGAACTCCACTTATGACATGATCAAGAATGAGCTATCTCTTAAGCCAGTAAATCATATTTAATTTATACACAGTAAAATTTTTATAAATGTATCCTCTATAAGTGCATATACACTCTAAATGCACACTCAAATTCAGGCCCAAATATATATATAATGGGGATCGTTAAAGTTTTATACCTACGTGACTTTTGAAATTTTAATTGCAATTAGAGCTAGGGTTAGTTTAGTGTTAGAGGAAGGGCAAGCATATAAATAAAATTCTCTTCTTGATATTTTTTATTAATATATTGAGACAGGTTTAGACTGCTATTTTTCATATTTTTTCATTTTTTTGATTTTTTGATTTTTTCGAGCTGATTCATGTAAACAGAATCTTATGATTTTGATTGGTGATCTATATAAAAAAGTCACGTGAGTACAAGGCTTTAGTGGACCCCCATAAATATACTTTTAGTTATATGCAAAGACAATAACTTTATACTCTGTAAAGTAGGGTATATAAGTGACTATCGTTTACTATATATTATTTATCTCTGCTATAAAGAGCTAATTTTATACAAATTAATTGCTTGGCCTCTTCTTGTTATATCTGCAGGTAGTATTTGAGATAATTTATAGTTATATTTTAGGTTAGCAATTATTACTATAACAAATTATTATCTGATTAAATATTTAGAGATAATTTTAATAATAAATTTTGTAGGTGCTTAATTCTCTTACTAGCTCTTATAACGATCTCCATAATTATACTATTTCATATAATCAATAGATTGCTTTAGAAGAAATCGCTAAATTTCTCAAACCATTTAAGGATCTTATGACCAAAATATCATCTAGAACAAACTATACAGCTTTTTGGATCATTCTTCTTTTCAACATAATTCTCAATTATGTAGAAGATTTAATTTCAAATATGAAAACAAAAAGTTAATTATTAAAATTTTCATGATTTTTTATATGGGTCTTTATCTCAAAAATGGCTTTACAAATATAAATTTTCTATTTCATAACAATAAAGTTATTTTTGAATTAATGATATGTATAATGTTTGGTTTGTATATGCATAAGTAAGAATTTTTCTTTGCTTATATTTAATAGTCCAGAAGACTACTATAATTTTACTTACAATATTTACTTATAAATAATTTAATTATTTAGTTTCACCACTCTCCATAGCAACTATAGCAGTGAAAGAAAAACTTGTGCATTATTATTCTAAAACAAATACAACCGTTATGTTATACTTGGCTTTAGATCTGAGGAGAAAGTTCTAATACTTTACCAAAAAAGAATTTCCAGAACATGAAATTAATAAAACAAAGACTCTGTAAATTATTTTTTTATTTAACTATTTTCATATTCTTATGATAAATTGTATAATTCCCAGGATAGCATTTTTATTTTAAATCAATATATACTGTAATTTGTGGCAAATCATACCCTCTTATCTGTTATTAAAATATCTACTTATTGTTAATTTTATCAAATTAAATAGTAAATTGCCAGTCACAGGGGAGATACTAATCAATTTTAAGACCAAGAAATATATGAAACTCAGGTATAATTTGCCTGGCTGACTATTCTTATTAGCCTATTAATCAAAAAATTCTATCAATTTATTAGATAGAAAAGTGTGGTAGAAACAAATTCATGGTCTGTACTAGTGATGTGCCATTTATATGATACCTGAATTTTTTTCACGTACAGTATATACAGTGCATACTATATATGGCACATCTCTAGTTTGAACCCATAATGTAATCAGAATATAATATCAAGTGAAATAGGATGGACTTTCTAAACTGAATCGCTGTTTAAGAGTACATTTTATGCATTACTGTATTATTAATATTAAATCAGTTGATCGTTGATTAGGTCACAATTACCTGATTGTGAAATTTTTCTGCCACCACTTTTTTATTTAATTTATTTATATATATAGTGTTGACATTAAAAGTTTCACATTTTCGATCATAACTTTTGTTGCACTGGACAAATTTGGATGAATCAACCACCATTAGATTCAGCTCACTGAGACGGTTCTAATGAGCACAAAATCATGTGATTCGGATCACGGGATCACAAGATCGGGATGATTTTGATGAAGTACTAAATCAAGTACATGTGACTTGGATATAAAAGGCTAAATTAGCTAAGCCCCAAATCTCTCAAATCTCTCAAATATCATAGATATCATAGATCTCTCATATCTCACATATATCATATATATATCATTTATTAGATATCTCTTATATATACAATATCTCTTATATATAACATATAGCATATATCTTTTATATATTTAATATTTCTTATCATGTATTACTATATTTAG